CTCTACTGCAACATAAATACAGATGTCTAAATATTATTATTTTCAACCTTTAAGATGCTAAGTATCTGCTACCAGTGGTCCTAAGTTTTGCATATCTAAAAGACTATTGGTCCATGGCCTCTAGAGCAGAAATTCCTACAAACTCAAGGGCTTTTGCTAAGCCAATGACTCAAATACATAGAAGGAACATGAATGGATTTGTGTGTATAGTGTGTCTGTCTGTCTGTCTGTGGTGGTACTGGGTTTTGAATTCAGGGCCTGGGCACTTCCCTTAGCTTTTTTTTAATTTTGGTCCGGTCGTGGGGCCTGAACTCTGGACCTGGGCGCTGTCCCTCAGCTCTTCAGCTCAAGGCTAGTGCTCTACCACTTGAGCCACAGTACCACTTCCGGCTTTTTGCTTTTTGCTTATGTGGTGCTGAGGAATCAAACCCAGGGCCTCATGCATGCAAGGCAAGTGCTCTACCACTGAGCCACCTTCCCAGCCCCCTCAGCTTTTTTACTCAAGGCTAGCACTCTACTACTTGAGCCATAGCTTCACAACTTGTGTGTGTGTGTGTGTGTTATTGGATATAGTAAATAGTCTCACGGATTTTCTTGCCTATGCTGACTTCAAACCATAATCCTCAGATGCAGGCTCTTGAATAGCTAGGATTGTAAGTATGAGCTACCAGCTCCTGGCAATGAAAGAACTTTTAAACACTGAATCAGCCAAATAAAATGTGTTGGCAGGCCAGACTAAGCCACTATCCAGCTCTTATTAGCGTAATAACCTCTACAACAGAGATCCTGAAAACCTTTACTACAGAAATCCTAAAACTTATGTGTGGGTGAATTAATCCAGAGTAATTGTTAATTTTTCCACACCTACAAAAAAACCCATTCATTATATTGTTTTTAATCATTGCTGTAGCTTTACTCAGTCTAGCACAAGACACTTTATAAAAAGCATAGTATAAAATGCATTGTTGATTTAAATCTAAGAATATTTTATATTCAGCATTTTATAATTTAAAAGAAAACTTAAATGAATTTTCTCCCTTACTGATAATATCCATACAAAGATTATGCATAATTTTATTTCTAGTCAAGTGTGCCATTTAGATTTTTTAGTATGGTTTGTTGAATATACAAATTTCATTAATGAAATAATAATTATAAAAACAGAACCAAGGGGGGGGGGGCCGGGGGAGGATGGGAAGGGATAGGAAGGGGAAACAAAGGAGGAGGCTGCAATGCTTGATAAGAAATGTACTCATTATCTTGCCCATGTAATTGTAACCTCTCTGTACAGTATTTTCACAATAAAAAATAAATAAAAATTAAAAAAAAAACAGAACCAAAAGCCAGAAGCCAGTGGCCCATACCTATAATCCTAGCTATACAGAAGGCTGAGATCTAAGGATCAAATTCACAGCCAGATAGGGCAAAAAAGTTTAAGCAACTTCATATCCACTTAACCAACAAAATGTCAGGTTGGAGGTGAGGCTCATGTAGTAGAGCACCACATGAGTAAGTGCAAAGCTCTGAGTTCAAGCTCTAGAACAGCAAAATCAAAACCCCATGACCAAGAAGAAACTCAAAGAATCTATTTGTTTTACTAATAAACTGAGCCAGGCACTGAGGGGTTATGCCTGTAATCCTAGCTACTCAGGAGGCTAAGATCTGAGGACCTCTTTTTTTAATAAGTTGATCATCACAAATGTTTATGGTAATAATAAAAAACTAACAGAGAAAGTCAGGTGCTGGTGACTCATGCCTGAAATCCTAGCTACTCAGGAGGCAGGGATCTGAGAATGCTGGTTCAAGGCCAGCCTGGACAGGAAAGTCCATGAGACTCTTATCTCCAATTTAGCCACCAAAAAGCCTGAAGTGGAGTTGTGACCCAAGTGTACAGCATTAGCCTTGAGCAAAAAAAGTGCTCAGGCTCTGAGTTCAAGCCCAGGACTAGCACAAAAAAAATTGAGAAAAAACTGGAAGTGAAGGTGTAGTTCTAGTAGTGGAGTGTCAGCCTTGGGTGAATGTGCAAGGCCCTGAATTCAAGCCCCAGGACCAGCATAAAAATAAGTTCAAGCAGCAAGCAAGCAGGAAAGGAAGAAAGAAGGAAGAAAGAAGGCATTCCATATAAACGCCTACATTCCATTGCAGACAATGAACGTACTATGATCTGCACTTCAAGAACATCTTTAAATCGTTGTAAACTGGACACTAAAATCTTAGCCAGCAGGTGTCCAGTTCCTATGCATATATTCTTCTTGGTACTCAAGCATCCTAAGAGTTGTAAACCCAGACACTGAACTTCTAGAATAAAAGAAAAAAAAAAGTAACAAAATTAATTGTTTTAAACTTCAACACTGAAGAAAATATATCAATGACAGCTCATGGCCTACAAGAAAACAATTGCAACTCCTGAGTTCAAATGCTCCCGACCTTGGTCATCTGGATACATCTGCAGTGTGTGAAGCACTGAGTCCACTGCACCATCCAGGGACAGCATCTCCAGCACATCAGGGAAATGTGCTAGCGAAGAAATTACTTTCAATCCGCATCTCTGAATCCCAGGATTGCCAATGAACTGAAATCAAAAGGGATGGAAGATTGTTGGTAGGTGAAAACAAGAGCTTACAACTTACCACCAGTTAAAACCAGGTATAGACAGATAAAATGTTCACCAACTAATTTTGTTCACCATTAATTTTGTCTCCTGTACAGTTCATTATTGTGTGTGTGTGTGTGTGTGTGTGTGTGTGTGTGTGCGCGCACACACACACACCTGCCAGTACTGGGGCATGAACAAAGGACCTGAGCACTGTCCCTTAGCTTCTTCACTTGATGCTCTGCCACTTGTGCTATAGCTCCACTTCAGGTTTTTTGATGGTTGATTGGAGATAAGAGTCTCATGGGCTGTTCTGCCCAGGCTAGCTTTAAGCTTTTATCCTTAGATCTCAGACTCATGAGTAGCTAGGGTTTACATGACCAACATCACCCAGGTGTTAATTATTTTTCTGTATTAAGATCCAGCATCTTAACATGTGTGGAGTGCTAGTAAGCACTGTGCTAAGTACATGGTGATCTCATGAAATCCATGTTAATATGATCCATCAAAATCTATATAGATCTCTCACTCTGCACAAAAATCAGTTCTAAATAGGTCATCTCCATTAACAAGAGTTCATCACCAAGAATTGGAAGGGTTAAGGAACACAGACTTGCAAATCACAGAAATGAAACCAAACCAATGCGGTTTGATCCTGAAGTTTATCCCTTGGCAGTAAAATGCAGCATTACTTCTCACCATAGATCTACCAAGTGGGCCATGAGCTGGAGGGTCATACCTCTAACCCTGCTACTCAAAAGGACGAGTTCTGAGAATCATGGTGTGAAGCCAATCTGGGCTGACAAATCCAACAGACTTATTTATTTCCAATTAATCAGCAAAAAGCCAGAATTGGAGGCATGCTCACGCACCAGCCTTGAACAGCAAAACTAAAGCAAGAACATAAGTCTTGAGCTCATATAGCATTGATTAATTAATTAATAGCTAGGCAATATAAATGTTTTCAAGGTATTAACAGCAAAGTATTAAGCAAGGGTGAACCCTTTGTGGACATGGAGCTCTGGGTGACCACGGTGGTGCACACCTCTGAAGCTGGCCTTACCTGTCAAGCAGGAATGATGAAATGATGGTTCCATCATTCATCAAACAGAAAGTTCCAGCAAACAAAAAGCTCAAAATGACTATCTTACCTTTGCTTTTGAAATGGTCTTAACCTGTTGATGCCATCTAGGAGAATAGATTAGCTTTCACTGCCCATTAGATAATTAAAAGGGAGGAAAGTGTTTAAAGCAGACATAGCAAGTTCATTTAAAACTGAAAGGAAAGTAGCAAGACTCTCCTTTTCAAGAGAGGCTGTAGAGAGGAGTCCAGTAGAATCCTCTGGGGAGGCAGGTTTTTGTTTGTTCGTTCTTGTCAGTCATGGGGCCTGAACTCTGGGCCTGGGCACTGTCCCTTAGTTCTTCAGCTCAGGGCTAGCACCCTACCACTTAAGCCACAACACCACTTCTGGCTTTTTCTGCTTTTGTGGTGCTGAGGAATGAAACCCAGGGTCTCATGCATGCTGGGAGGCAGTTTTACAGTGCAAGGATGCTCCTATACCTCCTCCCCTGGCCTTTTCACTGATTGACAGATGGCTGCTGCATGTACTATGCCAGATCCTTTCATTGGTTGAATGGCATCCAGGGAATTATGGGAAGAAGCAGCATTTGAGGAAGAGTCTGAGACACTATGGGAACAAGAAGCACCATGATGGACCACATGTTATTTCCATGTGTTATATCCACCCTTTTCATCCCTATCCACCAAACAATTCCTCTTCCTTTTTTAAGAATAATATTTGTGCTTTAATGTTTTAATTAGAATAGTTTTATTAAATATTTAAGTTTTTATTTTTATCCTTAAGTAGTTGTACAAATGAGTTGCCATTCAACAAAGTAGATTAGGAATTTAATGTATCTTGATCAATATCACCCCATACAATTCTCCCCCATCCTGCCCAACCCTAACCCTTCCCTCAATTGTGTTAATTTTGTAGACTACGCATTGAATGTGCATTATGACAATTCACCTTTCTTTCCCTCACTTTGGGTATTAAATATGTGATTTTAAGATGGCTGGTATCAGAACTGGAAGTACTGCTTAAGTGGTAGAATACTAACCTTTTGCAAAAAAGCTAGGGCACTAGGTGTCAATAGATCACACCTGTAATCCTAACTACTCAGGAAGCTGAGGTCTGAGTATTACAGTTTGAAGCCAGCCTGGACAGGAAAAGCCATGAGACTCTTTTCCCCAATGAACCACCAAAAAGCCAAAAGTGAAGCTGTGGTTCAAGTGGTAGAACAATAAGCCTTGAGCAAAAAAACCTCAGTGACGGTGCCTTGGTTGAGAGTTCAAGTCCCAGGACTGGAACCAAAAAAAGGGCCAAGCAAGAGCACAAGGCCCTGAATTCAAGCCCCAGTAAAAGACACACACACACACACACACACACACACACACACACACACACACACACACACTCAAAGAGAAGCATTACTCAGAGATTAGGAGAGTTTAACTCATACTTTGAGTTATCTGCTCAGAGATTGGTGACTCTCTTGTTTCTCAGCAATACATAATGATAATGATAAATGATACTACAAATCCAACTCTAAATGAGTTCAAATATAGGAAGATTTATAAGGACAACATTTGGCACATGACAATTGCTACATAGCTCTTGGCATTGTTAACCTAATTGTTGCTATTGTTGGTGTGGCAAGGATGTATTAGTGATTGGCAAATCTCATTCATGAAGAGAAGAGTTTTAAGCCAAGAATCTTCATCAAAGTTTAGAGTTTGAAAAGAGAGACCGTACAGGAGCTGGACAAATGAATGGTTTGAATGTTTGTGAATAAGTAGAGGATCACTGGGTCATGAAAATCAAGAGAGGAGAGGGCAGTAATTAAATTGTTAGTGGACTGTTTTCTTTCATTGCTTTTAATTCAGACTGGCAAGGACAGAAGTCTGTATGCATTCTGCTATTAACAAACTTGGAAATGAAAGAAAATGGTAGGTTGATGGAAGGGAAGACAATTAAGGTAAAGTCTATCCCAGTAACCTTCTAAGTTGTGTGTATGTGGAGGGGGGAGGGGCTTGAATTCTAGGTCTCATGCTCTTGCTTAAGCCTTTTGGCTCAAAGCTGGCACTATATGACTTGAGCCATTGAGGACTGCAATTCAAAGCCAATCCAGGCAGGAAAGACCATGAGACTCTTACCTCCAATTAGCCAACAAAAGGCCAGAGTGGAGCATAGCTTAAATGATAATTAACCTTGAGCAGAAAAAGCTCAGGGACAGTACACAAACCCTGAGTTCAAGTCCCAGGACAGACAGACAGACAGACAGACAGACAGACACACACACACACACACACACACACACACACAAACACACACAAATTCTAACAAAGCATATGGAAAAACTATAATGATAGCACACTGAGATGAACATTGAATCCCCATAACTGAATAAGAAGAAAGCAAACTTAGGAAGTACATGGATAAAGCTATATAAAGTAATACACTATCTGTCAAGGTAAAACTGAGATAGAATAAATGGGAAAACAGGTAGACATGATATAAATTTAAGTACTCAGATTTTTTTTGAACTTTTAGAGCCAGAAGCAAAGCAATAATTTAAAATCTAATAGTAATAACTTATCTAACATCAGCTGAGTTCATAATGTCCACTAGATACTGTAATGCTATTTTACATGGAGCATCTCCTAAAATCATAACAACCTTAAATGAGAAACCATTCAGCACTGCTCATCAGTACAGAAAGAGGGCCATCATTCCTCCAGCCAGATTACTAGATTTGTGATAGGCAGATACAACACACATTCACTTCTGTCTTTCTGTGCCTAACTTATTTCTTCCACACACTTAGTGTCAGTAAATAGTTCTGCAATTAAATTCAGCCCCACTTTTTTGTGTCTGTACTGAGGTTTGAACTCAGGGCCTGGGAACCATCCCCTGAGCTTTTTTGTACTCAACCACTTTATGCCATTCTACCACTTGAGCTTTTGGGTGGCTCATTGGAGATGAGTCTCATAAACTTTCCTACCCAAGCTGGCTTCCATGCTTCTCACTCCTCAGATTTCAGCCTCCTGTATAGCTAAGATTACAGGTGTGAGCCACCAGTGCCTGGCTTCAATTTAGCCCATTCTACAATATATTCACACCATACACAGAATCACTTTTAACATTAGGCACAAGTGACTCACACATCACAGGCAATTACATTATAAAGTTCAGTTTAAATTGAATTTTTAAAAGTAATCTCTCTGGAGGCTACTGTAATTAATTCATAGCATTTATCAAACCATACTGAAACACAAGAAATCACTTTCACAGATTATATTGAATATTTTTTCTTTCATTAAAACAATAACCCTAAGAATTCCTTAAATTTTCACCTGTATATTTCTCTTTTTTCTGGTTTTTTTTCTCTCTTTGGCTGGTTCTAAAGACTGAATTTAGGGCTTCATGCTCTCACTTGACTTGTTTGCTCACATTGATCCTCTTACCACTTGAGCCATATCTCCAGCCTGGCTTTTTGCTGGTGAATTGCCTATCAAGTCTTTCGGACTTTTCTACCTAAATTGGCTCTGAACTGTGATTCTCCAGATCCTAGCTTCTGGGGCATCTAGGATTATAAGATGAAGCCTCCAGGACCTAGTTTTCACTCAAAGAACTAATTCATTTTTATTTCAGATGTCCAAATTACCTTAATTCCATCAATATGTTTCATATCAGACAAGGAACTACACTATCTTTTTTCATAGTTGCTTATAATTTTTTTTAATTTTTTATTGTGAACATACTGTACAGAGGGGCTACAATTACATGGGCAAGATAATGAGTACATTTCCTATCAAGCATTGTAGCCTCCTCCTTTGTTTACCCTTCACATCCCTTCCCAGCCTCCCCCTGCCCCTCATCCAATCCCCCCCCCACCAAAGTTGTAAAATTCGTTTTCGACATGACAACTTGTACTTCTCATTGCTGCAATGGGTCCACCTGTATCCTTATTTAAACAACTTGTTTTTCCCCTTCCCCTCCACAAATTATACCGACATCAAATACAGTGAAAGCAAGGGTTATACTGTGGGGGAGGGACATACAAAGCAACAAAGAAATAATCTTATAAATGCGTTAGAAACAAATGCATGAAAGAAAAAAAACATTTATATACATATCTAAGGGTTCATTTTCCTAACATCACCTTATCTGACCTTTTCTCATTGACTCATACATATACTGGATATTGCAAATAAGGGAAACCATGGGGCCTATGTTTCTTTGGGCTTGGCTTACTTCACTTAATATAATTTTTTCCAAGCCTTTCCATTTCTTAACAAATGGGGCAATGTCATTCTTCCTGATGGAGGCATAGAATTCCATTGTGTATATATACCACATTTTCTTGATCCATTCATGTACTGAGGGGCATCTGGGTTGGTTCCATATCTTAGCTATGGTAAATAATGCTGCAATAAACATAGTTGTGCTGGTAGCTTTAGTGTGGTCTTGTTTGTAAACATTTGGGGCTTATGATTTACTGATACTCTGGTTATGATGAATATTGCATCTATACATAGATTTGTCAGTGCCTGAAGATTGGAAGGAAACCATGTCATGGGTTCTCTTTGAAGAGAGAAATAAAAACAAGTACAAAAAACTAACAAAGACTTTCATGCTCTACCTCATATACCTGGGTGGGCTGAAATTTATACCATGGAACCATACAAGAGAGACCAACAGAAAGAAAAGACAGCAAAAACAACAGCCCACATCCCTGCTCCCTCATGGGTTTATCAACTCATATAGGCCGGGCACCAGTGGCTCATACGTGTAATCCTAGCTACTCAGGAGGCAGAAATATGAAGATTGAAGATTGAAGGCAGCCCTGGAAGACAAATCTGATTGACAAATAAGAAGCCAGAAGAGGCGCTATGGCCTTGAATTAAAAAGCCAAGCAAGAGCTGGAGGCCCGGAGTTCAAGTAGTTCTAGTACTAGCACACATGGGCACTGACACACACACACACACACACACACACACACACACACACACACACACTATACAATGGCTATGCACACACCTAGCTCTTGCTCTTTAGCTGTCAAGATCAAGCAAACTCAAGTAGATTAATGTTAATAGCAATCAAAAAAAGCTTGGTAAGTCTGTAGTTGGTGGTAGATATATCTCTGCCAGATTTAGCTTACTACTGGACTCCTCAAGGCCCGTAGTCCTGTTGTAATTTTATGTTCTAATCATGTGACTTTCTACTACCACACTGAAGAGAAGGAAGAAACATTAAAATACTTACCCTGGCTCCTTAATATAATATTCTGGTTAACATATAAAGATAGTAAATCTAATCAACATACCCTGTTCAAAGCCGATAAGACCAGCTTATAAATATCATTCCTGAAAGACTGTTTCTTAACCATATTTAGTTTACGCTGAAATTCATCTCTAGAAACATCTGGCATGCCTAAATACAAAAATAAATAAGTTAATACATGGCATATATACTTTTCTCATAAATGTTTAAGCTAAACAACTTGTCACTCAAAGGAATAAAGTTGACACCTAAGGAAAACCAAAAGGGATTTATTGTTACTGAAGTTTTATTACATTCTACAAACAAAATTGAAAGAGTCATCATAATATTTGCAAGCAAAAATACATGTAAACCATGTCTCAAAAGTGAACTGACAATTACAAATCATGATTCAGTTTTTTTTAAATATGATTAATGATCATTTTTCAAAGTACCAGAAGTTTAAAAAAGATAGAACAAAAGCTGTCCTCAAAAAAGACACTTTTCTTCCCCTTCCTTTCTTCCTTCCTTCATTTCTTCCTGCCTTCCTTCCTTTTGTATGTGCCCTGGTACTGGGGTTTGAAGTCAGGACCTGGACACTGTCCTATAGCTTTGTTGCTCAAATCTTTTAGTCTACCACTTGAGCCACAACTCTACTTCCAGCTTTGTGCTGGTTACCTGGAGTAAGAGTCTGACAGACTTGGCTGCCCTGCCTAGCTTTGAACAACAATCCTCAGATCTCAGCCCTCTGAAAACTCCTCTGAGCTTGAAAACTCCTCTAGACCTTATACAAGACAGTTCTTTGTACCCTTAATCTTAAATATCACAATTACTGGGGCTGGGAAGGTGGCTCGGTGGTAGAGCACTTGCCTTGCATGCCTGAGGCCCTGGGTTTGATTCCTCAGCACCACATAAGCAAAAAGAAAAAAGCTGGAAGTGGTGCTGTGGCTCATGTGGTAGAGCGCTCGCCTTGAGCTGAAGAGCTGAGGGACAGCGCCCAGGCCCAGAGTTCAGGCCCCAACCAGACCCCCCCCCCCAAAAAAAAAAAATATATATATATATATATCGCAATTACTCCTGTGAACGAATTAGTTGAGAGTTCACCAATATTCTCATCGTTGTTTATACATTTATGCATAACATCCCTGTTCACAATTCCTGGTGATTATGGACTTGTCTATCTAACTCTAAACTCTTGTAATACCTTACTTTCAGTCCTGCTTCAAATCCTAACAGTACCACAGGGTTCACAATGTAAAGGGCACTTAATAAACATATTGAAAGAACAATTAAACGGGCTTTGAAGGACAAATAAGGTAGGAGGTAAAAGGGAAAGAGCAGAAACCTATGAGGTTAATAAGTATCAGTTACAGTGGCTAAAAACTAACTTCAAAGTAAAGGAAGGATAGAGATGAAGTGACAGAAATTAGAAAAATAATAATAAATTCAGGCAGGTGGGGAGAAAACCTTGGACTTAAACTTGGATGATAACAAACAGAAAACATATATTAAGCTGGGAGCTGCTGGCTCAAAAATAATAGTTTCCTATAGATGGTGGAGAGCTAAGAAAGCTGGTGGATGGTATGAATGTAATGAAAGTAATTCATTTGCATGTATGAAATTAGAACAATGAAAACTCTTGAAATTGTTTTAAGAAAGGAGAGGGAGCGGGAGAAGAGTGACAGAGGAGCTAAAGTTGATTGGGATATGTTATTTGTGTTTAAATGTTACGATGAAACAGGGCTGGTGGCTCACGCCTGTAATCCTAGCTCTGAAGGCTGAGATCTGAGGATCATTGTTCGAAGCCAGCTCAAGCAGCGAAGTCCCTAAGACTCTCAACCTCCAACTAACCACCAAAAAGCTGGGAGCTCAAGCGGAAGAGCTAGCCTTGAACAGAAAAAGCCCAGACACAGTTCAAACCCCTGAGTTCAAGTACCAGTACTGGCACCAAAAAAATACAGTTACAATGAAATCCATATGCAGAACTAATATATGCAACTAATATATGCTAACTTTAAAAAAGAGAGAAAAAACAATCATTTAAGTTTTGCCTAGGAAGTTAGTATCTCACCAAAAGGTCAAACTCCATTAAGACTACTACCTCGGGGCTGGGAAGGTCGCTCAGTGGTAGAGCGCTTGCCTTGCATGCATGAGGCCCTGGGTTTGATTCCTCAGCACCACATAAGCAGAAAAAAAAAAAGCCGGAAGTGGTGCTATGGCTCAAGTGGTAGAGCGCTAGCCTTGAGCTGAAGAGCTGAGGGACAGGCCCAGAGTTCAGGCCCCACAGCTGGACCCAAAAAAAAGACTACTACCTCTTCCTGACATCAATTCTGGAACTTACCAGGCACTATGAAGTGCACAATAGCCCGAAGAGCCTCCAGCTGCACGGACAATGATGTCTGATGGTTTTTCATAATTGTTATTATCTTGGGGACCACTACTGCCATGGTATCCAGGGACATGTTACTGCAGATATAAAATCCACATGATTGTGATATGAGATTATACTGAAAAAATGTCTATCTTCAAATTCAGTATGCTTTTCTTTACATTCTTAGAGATAGGCTTGAAATAATATTGTACTTGATTCAATACCATGAGTCTCTATTACCTTCCTTCAAAAAGATGATTGAGCATCTTACATCCACTTTCAGCCACTTCCGGAGAATGTATGTGTTTCTGCATTAACTCCAAAACATTCAGGTATATTCCTTTTGACAGCAGGATTTTTCTAAAATTAACTACAGAATATTTTAAGGTTATTTGTTGAAATGAAAACACATTCTAATACTATTTATTTATCTATCTATTTATTGTGCCAGTACTGAGGTTTGAACTCATAGCTGGGCACTCTCCCTGAGCTTTTGCTCAAGGGTAGTGCTCTGCCATTTAAGTCACAGCTCCACTTTTGGCTCTTTGGTAGTTCATTGGAGATAAGAGTCTCACAAACTTCTCTACCCAGGCTGGCTTCAAATCACAATCCTCAGATCACAGGCTCTTGAGTGGCGTAAGCCACCAACACCCAACTATATTCTGATAATTTCACAATAACTGTGGAACATTAAGGTAGTCTAAGTTCACTGTCCACTTAAATATCATTAACATCTAATTCTTGAAAACATATACTATGCTCTATTTTTTCATATTTATCAATTCCTCAAATTTTGATTTTAATTTTTTATTGTAGTATAGACTTATTCCAGTAAAATCAATATATTCCCAGTCTAATTTTTTTTCTTTTCCTTTTCCTCTACCATTGGAGCCACAACTCCACTTCCCATTTTTTTGTAGTTAATTGGAGATAAGAGTCTCATAGACTTTTCTACTAGGGGTGGCTTCAAACCGCAATTCTCAGATCTCAGCCTCCTGAGGACCTAGGATTACAGGTGTGAGCCGCCAACGCCCTGCTTTGTTTTGATTTGTTTTGTTTTTCAGAACAAAGTTGCTTAAATAATGTTCTCCAAAATAAGAATGAATGTTACCAGATACATTGAAGGAATAAGTGGGGTTGGGAGAGGTGAGGGAAAAAAGTAGAAGGGATGTCATTGATCAAGGTACTAATAAATTGACATGAAACCCCTTTAGACAACTACTTAAAGATAATAAAATAATAATAATAATAATATAAAGAATGAAGCTTAAATTTCATTCTTATAAAACCTCACAAAATGATCATACCCTAAATGTACCAGGCAGTGGTGAGCCAGGAGTAGTCATGAGTATATGTATAGACTTCTCACACTCCCCAGTGCTGACAAGAGAAAGGCCTGAGCTGGAACTAGGCTGGGTCATTTCAGACTACTTGGTGCTTTTTCCCCTGGGGACTGGGCAAACATATCATTTCTATGAATGTCCTCATTTGCAGAGGGATAGAAAGGACCAATATAATGCATAATTGCAAAATAGAGTAAACATTGATTTTACATTTCGTGGAGAAAAATAGCTTTATTTTAACAATAAGTGTGATATAACAGAGACCCTCTCTGTAGGAAACTTCCTTCACTAAATACAATTGATTGCCTTAGAAGTTTCATAGATCGATTGTCTTGAAGCTGCCATAAAAATACCAATCCCAACATTATACACAACAATTCAACATTCTAAAAGTAACAAAAAGAGGACACTCAGAAAGCTTTGCATTTGTGTGTGTGTGTGTTTAAAGGTTGTCAATATTAAGAAGATAAGAACAGCTGGAGATGTGCTCGGGGGTAAGTACATGACACGTACATGGCCTTGGATTCTATCTCCAGTATTAAGGCAAATAAATGAATAAAAATTCAAAGTAAATAAAACATTCTGCCCAAATTGGAAAACTCATACATTCTAAAAGGTATGACATAATAAGATATAATAAAGCTGGGCACTGGTGTCTCACACTTGTAATCTTAGCTACTCAGGAGGCTAAGATCTGAGGATCATGGTTCAAAGCCAACCCCCTAGGAAAGTCCATGAGATTCATAGCTTCAATTAACCAGCAAAAAGCTAGTAGTGGAGCTATAGTTCAAATGGTGGAGCATCAGCTTTGAGCAAAAAAAGCTAAGGTAGAATGGACAGGCCCCAAGTTCAAGTACTGGCTTGCACACACACACACACACACACACACACACACACACACACACACATACACACACACACACACACACATACACACACACAGAGAATGTATTTTTAGTTAGTTATTTTGTTTGATTGGGTAGGAGGTTGCCATAACTTTCACAAATTAGCTAGAGTTTACTCAAGGAGATATTTTAGAAGATAGAAGTTATCCTTGCTGGGCACTTGTGGTTCACACATGTAATCCTAATCAAGAGGCTGAGATCTAAAGATCATGGTTCAAAGACAGCTCAGACAGGAAAGTCTTATCTCAAACTAACCAGTAGAAAGCCAGAAGTGAAGGTATAGCTCAAGTAGTGGTGTACTAGCCTTAAGCAAAACACCCAAGTGAGAATATGAGGCACTGAGTGCAAGTCTACAATAAATAAGAAGATAATAGGATAAAATAAGACCAGTGGTTCTCAAACTTCATAATGAATCTCAATCATCTGGAGGACCAACTCCAGGGTTTAGGATTCAGTAGATCTGTATGAGCCCTAGAATTTACATTTTGAGACAGTTTCGGGCAATACTGCTGGTCCAGCGACCACATCTGAAGAACTGCCATGCTGCACATTAACTTATGTGTAACTCAAAACATGCAAACACTAGACCTGGGCCAGAGATTTCACCATGAAATTACTTTAGCATTTACAGAACATTTTCTATGGCAGATCATTTGCCAGCTACCCAGGAAAACTCGTGACCTTACACATTCTGGTTTAGCAGAACATCTGCTTTAAAAGGCAAACAGAAGTCAGACATGATGGCATAAACCTGTATTCCCAGCTACTTAAGGTGGTAGGGGCAAAAGGACCAAGAGTTTGAGGCCAATATGGAAAGAGTTAGCAAGACTCAATCCCAAAAGCAAAATACAATTGGGTGCTGGCAGCTCATATCTGTAATCCTACCTACTCAGGCAGTCCAAAGGATTGCAGTTCAAAGATAGCACATGCAAAAATTATACAAGACTCTCCAAAATGACTAGCAAACTGCTGGACTGGAGACATAGCTCAAATGGTAGTATGTTAGCCAAGCACATTTCATGTCCTGAGTTTAAACGCTGGTACTAAGCTGGATGCCAACGTCTCACACTGTAATCCTAGATACACGAGAGGCTGAGTCCTGGAGGATCAAGATTTGAAGCCAGCTGAGGCAGAAAAGTCCTCAAAACCCCATTTCCAATTAACCACAAAAGCCAGATTGTGATGCAAGTTGGTAGAGTGCTAGGTGTGTGCAAACATGCCAAGCAGGAGCTGGAGACCCTGAGTTATGGTCCTGATACCAGCACACACTCGTGCATGACACACACACATGTGCATACACAGAACAAAATACAAACAAAAGTAGCCTTTTTGTGGGTAGGAAGTGAAGCTCAAATAGGATAGTGTCAGGCCTTGGGTTTAATCTCCAGTCTCTCTCTCTCTCTCTCTCTCTCTCTCTCTCTCACACACACACACACACACACACACACACTAGCACAGTAGACAAGAAACAAAATGCATTATCTATAGTGGTCAACCTACCAGTAATCTTTAGTGGCTGGAGAGTCACAATTTCTGCTCCACTGACTAGCCCCTAACCTATCAAGTCCTCTTTCCTTCCTTCATTTTTTTGCTTAGCTAAGTGTACTCTGCTGTAATCTCATTATCTCACTTTCACACCAGAGAAGTTAAAATTCCATGAGCCTAGGAGTTATTCTTCACTGTCATGTTTCCAGTGCCAAAGAAACTGTCTAGCATATGAAAGGAATTCAGTAGATAGGAATTCAATTAAGTGAGGAAAAACAGCACACAACATGTTTCAGTCTTGGTTTTGAAATGTGTGTGGTTACACAAACTTGGCTTTTCTTGTTTTATTTTAATGTATCTCTTATTTATTTATGCCAGTCCTGGGGCTTGAACTCATCATGGTCTGGATACTGTCCCTTCGTTTTTTGCTCAAGGCTGGGGTTCTACTACTTGAACCACAACTCTACTTCTGGCTTTTTAGTGGTTGAATAGGCATAAAATTCTCCTAGATTTGTCTGTCCTGATCTTGAGATCTCAGCCTCTTGAGTAGCTAGGATTACAGGCGTGAACCACTTAGCACCCTGCTTGTTTTGTTTTGCCAGGCACCTGATAGGTAGCCCTGACTGGCCTTCAAGTCTCAGGAGAACTGCTTTCACCTCCTGGGTGCTGGGGCTACAGGCTTGTACCTCAGTTCTTCTGGCTCCCTCCCAATCCAGTCATTTTTCTAAATCATACTTTAAAGAAAATCGATCCGGGCTGGCACACCCAAAGCTACATGAGTCTGTCAACGAGAAGTTGCCCGAGGGTGGAGATGAACAAGCTACTCAAGTTCTTAATATTCTACTAAAGCAAACTGCAAAGGTTAACACAGAAGGATCTGAGGACAGTTCATCTAGCAGGTAGCCAGGGATGGGGCAAGAAACTAGAAAGTTCAAAGGATTAATTCCCAACCAGAACATCAATCTGGATGTCACTAACTCAGACACCAGAATAAGAAGATCATCAAAAGGAATTTCCACTTGGTGAAGAATTACAACACTAATAAGCCACTCTGTCTCTACTTTAAGGAGCCTGACCCAGAATTAGCCAAGTCCAAGCCCTCATTTTCTGGACTGAAATCTCTTGTAGGCTTCTTTAACCACATGGTAGAAATATAGGAGATTTAAGAATAGCAATTCATAGCTACTCAGGTGTTTGAGACATGAGGATCACAGTTCAAAGCCAACCTGGGGTAGGAAAGTCTGTGAGACTCTTATCTCCAACTAACCATACAAAATCTGCAAG